GGTTTTCCTTAGTAGCTTTAAGAACTATCTAGTACCGTTCTTATTACTTAAGTATACTATATATTTATCGTCGTAGTATATAGTCTAGCTAGGGAGTTTATACTTTAGTTCCTATCTATTAGTAGCGTTTAGGTATTTCTTACCTTCTAGGGCTAGTACCTAATAGGTTTTCTTCTCTTTATAAGGTTATCTATATTCTTTAAAGTAATATCTAAGTTTTTTATAATTAAAATACTTTCCTTTGCTTTTCTATATTATATTTAGATCTATCCTACCTAGGTTAGTTATATAGGTATAGGCAATAAGAGTTTTGCGCTTCTTTTTATAGTTAGTATATTAGTTAAAGTTATTTTTATAGAAAGGGTTTTAGTTTCCTCTTTCTTATTTCTTTTCTTAGTATCGTATATACTATTTATTATCGATTTATACTATTATAGTAATATAGTCCGAGAGGTTATTAAGTCGATTTTCCTTATAAAGCTTATCCTTAACTTCTTCTTTAAGATTATTATAGAATCGTAATATAAAAGGTTCCTTATCTTAATTAAGCTTTAAGGTAACTTAATAGAACTTTATAGTATAATCTAATACTAAGATCCTTTATTAGAGTTCTTAAAGTTTTTATTTAGCTTCTTATTCCTTATTAATTATTTAAAATACCTTTATAATAGCTTTTTTAAATCCTTAGAAACTAGTAAAGATTTTATCTATTTTATTATCTTATTATACTAGTTAGTTATTAAGAAAGTCCCTTATAATAAGTCTAAACTAAGTAAGTACTGTTTTAGATAAATAATTTCTTATATAAAGTACCTTTTAACTAAGTCTAAGAGTTTTATAAGGTAAAACTAATAATAGGCCTTAAGTTAAGTAAGAAAGTCTTAAAGCGTGCTATTATAAAAAGGTATAAGTAATAAGCGTAGGATCGGGTAATCGATAACGTAAGTAAAAAGATCGGTCGAAGGAGTATAGGGTAGGATTTCGTCCGGAATTTATAACGAGCATATAAGGGGCTAAATAATATATTAAAAGAATAGCGTTGCAAAAGATACTTATAAACTTACTTATTCTATCTACTACTCCTAGGGAAATCCTTCGTCTTTTATAGACTATTGCTCGCCTACTAGTAGACTAATTAGTTAGCTTTCTAGCATATTCTATAGTGCTTAAAAAGCTCTATCTATAGTATATCTTCCTAACTTAGTAGGTAGTCTAATTATAGCGTGATGGTTAATGTAAGACTATGGGTTCTAGCGTAAGTAGTAGATTTAACTAGAATGTTCTATGCCCTACCTATTCTCGTATCGCGGATATCTTCGGAACCACTAGGCCAAAATAGGCAATAGGGTATCCGTTCTGCTCGTAATTAACTTATGCATTTTATGCATATTTTTGTTTATAAGGATAGGCTTATCCTAACCCGCCTTTCCTAGAGGAAGGTATAGATATCTAGTAGAGGTCTTTGTCTTTAAGGGTTATTCCCTTAGACTATATTATAGAACCTCTTTTTACTAGCTTATTTTATAGAGCCTCCCTATGCCTATTATATCTTTATAATAGTAAAATAGGAATATAAGGGTATATTCTTATAGCCTCCCTTAAAGAGTACTAGGTAAATAGTACTCTTTACTAGTTATTTCTTTTATAGTAGAATTATCCTTATTAAGAATAAGGTGTATAATAGGAATATAAGGGAAAATTTTAAAACCCTTTCTAGGAAAAACCTTAGTAGGAAAAATCCTAGTTATTATTATAATTTTTTCTCCTCTTTTTAGGTAAACCTTTATAAGGAAAAAGCCTTATAGAGTTATTATAGGAAACCTTTAATAAGGAAAACCCCTATTTTTATAAGTTGTTTTTTACTAATAGGAAACCTTTTTAAAGGAAAAAACCTATTAGTTATATAAGAGGAAAAGCTAAGAAAGCGAAAGACAGCTAAAAAACTTCTATTAAAGGGATATAAGCTTTTCTTTTTTAAGGCTCTTTTAATTCCTTAAGGGAAAGAAGCTCTCGGAACTTAAAGAATTTTTCTCTTCTTAGTTCCTTAGTAAATATATCGGCAATATTATCTTTAGATTTAATATAGAAAATCCGAATCTTCTTTTCCCTAATATTTTCTTAGGTATAAAAGTAAGTAATATCTATATACTTTGTCTTTTTATAAAATTCTGGATTTTTAGCTAATTTAATAGCTGCCTCGTTATCCGTTAAGATAGGAGGTATAGTTTTAGGAATTCTAATAAACAAGCTATTATTTATCGTATAAAATAGCCGATTTAGATATAAAGCTTCTTTATTAGCCTCCCTAAGGGCAATAAATTTAGCTTCGTAGGTTAATAGGGCTATAGACTTTTACTTCTAGTAGGCCTAACTTATAATATTTTTATAAATATAGAAATAGTATCCGGAAACGGATTTTCTATCTATAAGGTTAGACGCCTAGCTAGCGTCGGAGTAACCTTTTATAAAATTATATATATAAGGGATATTATAATAATAAATTATCTCTAGGTTAGGATATTTATTTATTTATTTCTAGATAGTATTTAACGCTTTAAAATACGTATTATCTAGTTTAGAAGTAAATCTAGCATAGGAAATAATAGTATATAAAATATCTAGCTTACTTATTATAGCTAGATATAATAGAGCCCCTATTTCCCTTTAGTAAATAAGGATTTCTTTTTACGAAGGCGTTATAGTAGCCTTTTTAAGCTTTACTCCTACTATAGTAGGCGTATTAAAAGTCCCTAAGTCTTCTTTATTATATTCTCGTATTTTATTACGAGTATATTTTTCCTAGGATATAAATATCTCCTTTCTACTTTAGTTTATAATTATATATATTCTTAAGAAGTCTTTTAGCTTGCTTAGAGGCTAAACCTTTATATAATCTACTACTTTTTTAAGCAGACTATTTATTATACCTTTATTAGGCCCTATTATTAAGAGGTTATCTACGTAGATTGCTATTATAATTTTATATTGCGTATTTATAAATACCCCTTTATTTATAGGGAGGGCCGAAAATCCTATCTTAGCTAATATAGAGCTAAGATAGTTATACTAAAGCTTTAGGCTTTATTTAAGGCCGTATAATACTTTCTTTAATTTTGCTACTAGCCTTTTCTTTTTATATAGCTCTAGAAACTATAAATAGCTAATATTATACTTATACTAGTTTTTATTAAACTAGTCTTTAAGTATTAGCTCTTCGTAGCCTATAGGGATTTTTATATAAATATCTATATCTATTTCGGTATATATAAAGGCATTTTTTATATCGTATTATAGTAGAGTATAATTATTAGAAATAGCTATTATAAGTAGCATTCTAATAGATTCGGGTCTTATTATCGTAGAAAAGGTTTCTAAATAATCTAGGCTATAGACTTAATTAAATACTTATACTACGTAGCAGGCTTTATATTTAATAATATTATTATTATTATCCCGCTTTATTTTATAGACCTAACGGCCGCTTAGGGCCTCCCTATTGCTAGGAAGAGGCTTTAATTCCTAGGTATTTTAGTTTAAGAGCTCTTCTATTTCTAGAAACATAGCTCTTTTCTATTCTATAGCTTCTAAGCTATTTATAGCCTATTTAAATGTTTTAGGCTCTATAGGATCCTTATTTCCTAGTAAAGATAGAATAATCTCTTTACTTTTACTATTTAATATAGTATTTATTTCGGGGTATACGATATAGTCTTTATAAAATCCGTTTAGCTTCTTAGGTATATTAATATAGATTTTTAGATCCTTATTTAATCCCTTTTCTAAAAGAGGATTATTTCCCTTTTTTATAAAAGGGTTATCGTCCTTCTCTATAAGAGGGTTATCTTCCTTTTCTATAAGAGGGTTATCTTCCTTCTCTATAAGAGGGTTATCTTCCTTCTCTATAAGAGGGTTATCTTCCTTCTTTATAAGAGGGTTATTTTCCTCGTTATTTAAAGAAGAGTTATTACCTTCTTTATATATAGGTTCCCTTTATAAATAATTATCCGGGACCTTATTTATAGAAGGTAAGGTATTAAAGTTAAAGTCCTTAAGGTCTACTTCTTTTTAATTTTCTATAAATTTATTTTCTAGGATAATAATATCTTTAGAAATTATTACCTTTCTTTTCGAAAAGTTATATATTTTATAAGTATTTTTAGTATAGCCTATAATAATACCCTTATAAGCTCTTATCTCTAGCTTATCTAAGGGGTCTTTATTTTTATAATAAATAGTACTTCCGAAGGTCTTAATTTTCTCTAAGTCTTTTAAGGCTAGAGATTTATTTTCCTTCTTCTCTATAGAAGTTTAGAAGCCTATTCGTAAGTAAGGGGTCCTATTATATAAATAGGCTGCTATTAGAATAGCTTCTCCTTATAGATATTTAGGCAGTTTTACCGTAAATAAAATAGCTCGGACTTTATTTAAAATAGTCCTATTAATCCTCTTTATTGCTCCGTTTAATTCGGGAGTCCTAGGAGGGCTAGTATAATATTTAATTCCCTTTCTTAAGTAGTAGGGTTTTATTTTATATAGGAATTCTTTTACGTTATCTAAAAAGACTTCCTTTATAGTAATATTATCCCGGTTATTTTTAACCAAGGCTTTATATTCTAAGAATTTTTCTAGGGCTTCTACCTTAGATTTTATTAAAGATATTTCTAAATATCTTATCCCTATATCTAAAAAGGATATAAAGGAGGTGTATTTATTATAAGTAGGGGTCTTTATAGGTCCCTAAATATTAATAGTAACTCTATTAAGGTAATTATATACCTTATTAAATAGGGATTTATTCCTCTTATTAGTTGCCTTTGCTTTAATATAAGCCTCGCATTCTTTTATTTTTATAATATCCTTCTTAGGAATAGTTATATCTTTATTATATCTTTTAAAGGTTTCTAGTAAGGCTTTAAGACTTATATATCTTAGCCTTAAATGCTATAAATAAAAGTTAAGGTCCTTTATATTATTCCTTATATTATTAATATTATATAGGAATGTCTTCTTCTTTAAGAAAGGAATTTCTCAAGAGAAGATATAAAGGTTATCTTAGTATTTTCCTTTAGATATAATATTAGCTTAGTTATCTAGTAGGAAAATTTCCGTGCTATTAATAAAGGCATAAGTATTTTTAAAATACGATTAGCTTATAATATTTACCCTTAATTTAGGTATAAAAAGGCAGTTTCTTAAGATAAATAGCCTTTTATTATTCGGAAATCTAAAAAGAAGATCTCTATAGCCTTTAATAACTATATAGGATGCCTTTCCTTAATTAACCTTAGTAGAGATAGTTCGAAAATTAATAAGGAATTTCTTTTCCGATACTATATACCTAGTAGCACCGGTATTATATATAAAATTATAGAAATTTCTATTCTCTAAGGTTTTATAAGGATTTCCTTCTTTTTACCTTATATATAAGGTCTTTAATTCGAGAGGAATTTAAAGGTCCTATTTGCCTATTATTAAATACGGCTTTTTTAAGGATATTCGAAGAGATATATACCTCTGCTTCTTCTTCGGAGCTTTTATAACCTCTAGGGGTAGGAGAAGGAATAGAAAAATCGATTTCCGGTTCTTCGTCCGTTTAATTATCGATTTCTATTTTTTCTGCTTCCGATATATATAGAGAAGAGGGTTTTTTCGTCTTCTTATCGACGTAAGAGTCTAATTCGATAGGATTTCCTTCTATAGAAGGTTTTCTAGGCCTCTTAGAAGGTATTCCTTTATTTTAATTTTTTAAATTTTTAGAAAAGCCTTTAAGGGCCTTTTCCGGGTAAAGATAGTAGTAATCTTTAACTAGATGCCCTTTCTTCTTATAGTAAGTGCATTATAATATAATTTTTATCTTTTTCTAGGGCTTCTTAGTAAAGAAATCTTACTTAAGGGGATTTTCTAGAGACTTAGTCCTCTTAGATTCGTCTATAAGACTACTAGAGACAGACTCTAGATTAAAAGCCTCTAAGTTATTTCGAAGAGCTTACGTTATATTAGTTATATTGCTAGAAAACGAGCCCAAAAGGCTGTTTAAAATCTAAGCTATAATAACTACTTCCGGAATTATAATATTCCGTGCTTTTAGCTCCTCGAATACCTCTTTTACCTTATTTAGGTAGCCTTCTAGGGATTCGAAATCCCCTACTAAAGTATTAAAAGGCTCCTTTATAAATAGGTAATTTAAAGTAAAGGAAATAAGGTTATATAGGTTTTTTAACCTATCCTACGCCTCTTTAGCATTTATTATATACTTTATTTAGGTTAAAGGACTATCTTTAATACGAAGAAAAATTAAAGTAAGTCCTTCTTTTATTTTTAAGTAATTTTCTTACTATATAGTAGTAGAAAGCTTCTCCCTAACTAAAAGAGCCTATATTCGAATAGCCTAGAAGGTATAGTTAGAACTACCCTTAAGTTTAGTAAATTCGAACTTATCCCTAGAGCTTATTTTAAATAATTAGAGGTCGTATAGTTAGTATTAGAATTTTAAAGTTATTACCCGACTTATAGAAAAGCCGGGCTTATAACCTATTAAAAGGTATAAGTAATAAGCGTAGGATCGGGTAATCGATAACGTAAGTAGAAAGATCGGTCGAAGGAGTATAGGGTGTTACGGAGTAGGCAGAGGCGTGTACGTAGGTGCCGTCCGTAGGATAATGTTAACAAGCTATGCAGAGCTCTTCTATACGCGGCTGGCCCGCCCCTATATTTACGGGATCCGGCCCTCCGCACGTAACTACACGGCTTAGGCCGCGGCCTAAGCCTATTACCTATAATAGTTAAAGACTCTTATATAATGCCCTCCCTCGAGCGCGGCGTAGCGCTGCCCTATTAACGGCTCCCGTATAATTAGGCCCGTGCCGCGGGCTCTTCCCTGCCCTTTCCTATTAATAGGGCCGGCCCTACTAGCCCTATTATCCCCGCGCCCGTTAGCCCGGGTAGCCGGGACCTAGCTCTATACTCGTCGGCCGGCTAGCCGTTTAAATAGGGGCGTAACCTATTATATACGCCCCTAGGTAGCCGGCGGCTAGTCCGGACCTACGTAAGCCTTAGGTTGCCCGTCCCCTCTGCCTTAGGTAGTATCCTCTACTAAGGGGTATATAAGGCGGTATCCCCCCCTTCCCCCTTCCCTTCCTTCTCTCCTTTCTTTAACCGTAGTAGTAGTATTAATAGGTAAGTTCCGCTCTACCTAGGGCGTTAGTCCGTTCCTAGCTATACGGGCCGCTCTATTAACGTATGCTCGTAGTAGTAGCGGCAGTAGCAATAATAGCCCTAATAATAATAATAACTCTAACTAGTAAGTTCCGCGCCTTATAGAGCGGGAGGCCGTATTCCGTCGTGCTAACTTCTACGATAGATATATCCGCCTCTCCCTCTCCTACCTCCTCCTTCTCGGAGCGTGCGGAGTCGTTCGTCGACGCCGTGCTAGCCGCGGCCGACGATGACTCCGCCGCTGCCGCCGCTCCTACCCGCGCCGCTGCCACCGCTCCCACCGCCGCCGCCGCCGCCTCTGCTGCGCTATTCGCTCTCACGTCGCCCCTTAGGGTAACGACGCCGTCCCCGCCGCTACCCGTAACGCCCGGCCCCTCGGCCCCCGCCTCCGTCTCCGCCACCCCCGTAAGTCCGTAGTCAGGTAAGCGTAATAGACGTTGTCCGCTAACCTCCTATAGCATAAGCGCTAAGTGTAGGCCGGCGCCGCCCGCTCGGCCCCCTATATGCGTTGTGCGTCGCAGGAGCTCGACTGCTCCGACTAGGCCGGGCGCCGCCGCGGCGGCAGCTGCTACTAGTGCGCGCGAGCCGGCCGCGCCTATAAGGCGGCGCCTCCCGTCCTGCTCGCTGCGGCGTCGGCTTAGAAGGCCGGCTCGCACGGGTAGGCGCGGGGGGCTACTAAGAAGCGCCTTACCGCCGCCGCCGCCGCCTACCGCAACCTCCGCGCCCTCGAGCGATAGGGCCTTATGCCTAAGTAAGTCCTACTCCTCCGCTCTCCTATTTCCGCCTCTAACGCACCCGGCGCTAGGGACACTGCCTCCGTCGCCTTGTTGGCGGTCCCCTTAGCCGTGCCCGCCTCCGCTACCGCCGCTGCCCCTGCCGCCGCCGCTGGCCGCCGCCCCTCTGCCCCTAGAGCCGCCGCCGCCGCCGACTAGCTTACGGGCTTAGAGGGCCGCCTTAGCGCCCTAGAGACCGCCGCCGCCGCTAATAAGAAGGAGGAGGCCGACGAGGACGACGATAACGAAGATAATAATAATAATAACGATAAGGAATAGGCCCGGGTAGTCTAGGGGCTTCGCCTTATAATAAACGCTATTTTTATCTCCGCCTATACTATTGCGCTTATATTGCCTATATTGCCGTGACTGCCCCCTCCGCTATGCCTACTTCGTGGTCCTAGCCCGGGCTGCTATCGGTAGTCCGCTAGTCCGTCGTTCTCGTCTACCGTTCTAAATAAGGCTTCGAACTTATCGAGGGCTATGGTTCCCGTAAACTTACGTACGGGTTCCTACGTAGGGTCGAGATACCCGCGCTACTTAACGAGGACCTCCCGGCGTTTCCCCCTACCGACCTTTTTCTAGCGCGCGGCCCGTATCTCTTCGACCTCGAACTCGTCCTCTCCCTCTACCTCGATTACGGGCGATTAGGCGTCCGCTGCTTCTTATCTAGGCAGCGGGTTAGAGGAGGCTCTACGAAGGAGGTCTACGTTAATCTTATTATAGACCCCCGTTAGGAGACTATCGAGCTCTATAACCTACGGGCTAATAACCCTCCGCACCGTAAACTTCGCGTATAGCTAGTTAAGCTTCTTCTTTAGCCGTGCCGACCTATAGTTACGGAGGTCTAGCTATACCTTATCTCCTACCGTAAACCTATCTACTAGGGCCCTAGTCTTATTAGCGTGCCGCTCCTAATCTTACGCCGCGGCGGCTATCGCGGATTAGCAATAATCCGTGGTCTCCTATAGCTTTCGTACGAACGCGGAGGCGCGGCCCTCCGGTAACGAATTGCTATACTACTCCGCTACCACGCCTACGGCAAAGGGAACTAGTAAGGGTAGTTTAAAGCTATGCGTTGCAAAGAAAGGGGCTATCTTAATAGAGGTATATAGTCTACTATTTAACGTAAGTTAGGCCGCGGGGAGCTAACGGTCCTAGTTTGCTTAGTTGCGGGCTACGACGGCCTATAGGTAAGCCTACGCCTCCTAGTTAACCCTCTCGGGCCCTCCGTCGGTCTATAGGTAATATGCCGTGCTAAGCAGCTACGTAATCTAGAGTAGCTAGCATAGGTGCTGCTAAAAGCGGCTAGTTTAATTCGATCCCCTATCGCTTATAATAGAGGCTAGCTAGCTATACGAGCGGGCCTAGCACTATAGGAAGCGCTCTACGTAGGACTCTATATCTATAGACGGCATCGGCTCTAATATTATAGACTTACTAAGTCGGTCCTTAATTACCTATATATAGCGGTTGCCGCCCTCTATAAGTAGGAGGTCCGTTATAAAGTCTATCTATATATGCGTATAGAACCGGTCGGGCACCGGAAGCTACTTAAGTAGCCCCTTAAGCTGCGCCCTCTAAATCTTAGTACGGCCGTAGATATCGTAGTTACGGAGGAAGCGGCGAACGTAGTGCTATAGGAGGGGCTAGTAGAAATCCCTCGCGAGGCCTGCTGCTATGCCTTGCCTACCCGGGTGGCCTACGATACTAGAGTTATAGACGAGCTAGACTAGCTTCCCTTAGAGCTTGTTCCGTTCGTCTAGCTCCGGCGGTCTATCCTTCTCCCTAGCTTCTATAGTATGCGGCGCGCCCGGCACCTATAGTCTCCCCCGCTAACGTAGGTGCCCCCGTAGGTCGATATAATAGTCGGCTAATTATACCTTTAGCTTTAGCTTCGGATCGAGGCGTCGAGCGCCGGACTTAACGGCGCGGCGCACGCTCTCGTAGGTGCGGTCTAGAGACGACATCCTATCCCATAAGCGCTAGAGGACCTTATCTTAGAACACCCGCGCCGCACGCGCCCCTAGGCCGGTCTATCCCTCCTCGCCGGGCCGAGGCGAAGGTGCGGGGGAAGGCTTATCCGTTAGCGCCGCGCCTTCCTCTACTAGGGAAGCTCCTATATAAGTCCGTAGCGCTTCTTACGGGATAAGCTATAGATCCCGGGCCTCGATGTCCGCTCCCGTCGGCCGGTCTTAATCCCTCCGGGAAAGCGTATCTAGGACTACGGAGTCCCGCCCTAGCCGGTACTTAATCGAGAAGTTAAAGCGTAAGAGATACTCCGCCTAGCGGGCTTACCGCTCCGAGAGGTGCTAGCGGGTTATAAAGTACTCGAGGTTCCTATAGTCTATAAGAACCTCGAAGCTCTTATAGCTCTAGAGTTCCGCTTACTATTGCTCGAGGCAGCTAATAATCGCTAGTATCTCCTTATCGTAAATAGCGTAATTCCGCTCCGCTAGGGTTAGCTTACGGGAGTAGAACGCTACCGGTTGCTTCCGCCCGTCTACCTCCTAGGAGAGCGTTCCTCTAAGTGCCTAGCCGCTGTAGTCCGCTTTAACTAACGTAGACCGGTCGAAGTCCTACTAGAGCAGCACCGGGGCTTAAGAGAATAGGTCCTTAAGCGTACGGAACGCTCCTTCCTATACGGGCCCCTAGCGAAAGGCGGTCCGCTTCCCGGTAATCTCGTTTAAGGGCATTATAATACGGGAGAAGCCCCTAATAAATATCCTATAGTAGTTCGCGAACCTAAGAAAGCTCCGTACGCCTATCTACGTAGTTAGGGCAGCCTAGTCCCGAATCGCCTAGATCTTTACGGGATCCGCCTATATGCCTACGCCGGCGTAGATAATAAAGCCTAGGTACTTAACCCTCTTAACCCCGAATTCGCACTTATCCGGGTCGAGGTAGAGCCTATAAAGTTAGAGGCGCTCTAGGACCCTCCGTACTTTCCGTATATAGTCCTCGTAGGAGCCGCTCGTATAGATAAGGATATTATCTATGTATACGGAGGCGAACTCGTCGAGGAAGTCCTAAAGCACGTTATTAATATAACGCTAGAAGGTGGCGGGCGCTCCTAAGAGGCTAAAGGGCGTTATAAGCTACTCGAATAAGCCGTAGCGTATGCGGAACGCCGTCTTCTACTCGTTACCCTCCGAGATCCGCACCTTATAGAACGCCTATTTTATATCTAGCTTCGTAAACCACTTCGCCTTCGAAAGGTTACGGAGCGTATCCGAGATTAGGGGCAAGGGGTAGCGGTCCGGCCTCGTAATTGCGTTTAGAGCCCTATAGTCGCAATAGAACCGTATCCCGCCCCCTAGTTTACGTACGAATAGGACCGGCGCTCCTGCTTCGGAGCTACTTACTTAAATAAAACCCTTATCTAGGAGGTCCCTTAGCGTCTTCTTTAGCACTAGTAGTTCCGGGTATAATATACTATATAGCGGTCCGAACGGTGCGGGCAGTTCCTGCCCCTTCTTATCGGTGCGGAGTACGATCTTATAGTCTACCCCTAGCTTATGCGGGTTAAGCTTATCCGCTTCCTAGGACTCGAATAGCGGTAGGAGGTCGTGAAAGCGCTCCGGTATCTGCTACCGTAGCTTAGAGGGCGACTTCGGCTTCTTCGCCTAGAGGGCCTTATCGATGTCCGCTAGGCTGACTGCGTAGACCGCTACGTTAGCCGCTGCCCGGCCTTCCTTCTACTCTAACCGTCGCACGGTTCCTATAAAGATAGAGGCAAGGACTTCTTATGCCGAGCATAAAGCTCGTACGCCTAGTCCTACGCCTATGGAACCGTCGTCGTAGCGGACCTACTATTACGTAGGCCTAAACTATAGCTTCTTCTAGTACGGAACCGAGTATAACTCCGTATATAATAACCAGGGTTTCCCGAGGATTAAGGGAAACTCTAGTTAGGGGATTATATAGGCCACGATAAGCTTATAGCAACCGTCGACCTCTATAGCTAGCTACGTAATGCCCCTAATTACCGTACCCTCTATCGCGCCTAAGGCGCCCTTTACTCGCCTTAAGGCGATCTTTTCTACCGGCACTTATATCTCTCGTATAAGCGCCTCGTTAACTACGGCGTAGCACTAGTAGCCCTCGTCTATAAGGGCGGCGACGGGCAAGGAGTTATTAACTATAACCTATATTAAAGTAGGCTCCTCTTCTATACGGGCGGATAATTCCTCCTTCTCCTTTGCTAGTACTAGTAATTAGGGCTCCGGAGCCCGTCTTTGCTCTAGAGCTACTCTTTTTCCTCTAGGCCTAAGGGAGCGGAGTCCTCTTCGTCGTCTAAGGCAAGGAGCGGTTCTATCTTCGCTACTCGAACTACTATAGGCCGCTTAGCTAAAAGGAAGGGGCATTTTAATATAAAGTATATAGACGCGCCGCAACGTAGGCAGCGGCCGTTAGCCTTCCTTTTCCCGATTTCCTCGCTCGTTACCTACTTCGCCCGCTACTTAGAGAGCGGGATAGTATAGGGGATATTCGAAGACGACTTCCTACCGCGTTTAGCTCGGTCCGTGCGGGTAGCCGATATTAGGGTGTCTCCGTTAGTATCGATAGTCGGCTATTCCTCTTATAGAGGGGCGGTGATCCCGTCACCGCTATACGGCGTGCGCTTGCGAAGCTTCTAGAAACGCGGCGTCTGCTCGTAGCCCTATGCTACCTTTATTAACCGGCTTATATACTCGCCGTAGTTAATAGGCATAATTACGGGGATAAGCAGCTCCCGTAGGGCCGGCGTAATCGAGTTCCGTAACTAT